ACATGCTAAAAAGGACATTTTATTTCATGATATGCAATTTACCAAGTTTAAACATCATAGTAGAAATAGTTGAAAACATAGGTCATAACATCATGGTCAATGCAAGCTAAATCATATTTAAGTCTTTGAAACACATATGAGATACTTCCTTAAGTAACCTTAGTTCATTAGTCATATTATTGTGGGAGAATTAGCTTTAACCGATATAGAGACCATGTGAGCTAAAACATGATCACCCGGTGTCTCCCACACCGAAAAAGGTTGTTCTACTTGCCTAAGGTAGAACCATAAACTTCTAGCTTAAGTGGATCCACTAGCTAATCAACCTATGGAGAGACATAGTTATGGGATAAGGAGATTGCTACTAGAAACCCGACCTCTACTCACGGGAGAGCTTTCATCTCATGAGACTTCTTCTAGAAACCTGACCTCTACTAGCGGGATAGATTCCATCTCAATGTCAATAACCACTCGGTGCTAAGTATAATTCCCACGGAATAGTATTTTCTTAATTATTCTCATTATCCATGGAAAGGCATGCCATTTTGCCAATCTAACTAGTTCATTAGGATAGCTCTCATTCATTGATTCAATTAGGGGAGAATAGCCTTTCAATCTAAAAATCCTTTCAATGTGATAAAACCTTTCACATCATGGTTGTAAGTGTTTTATGAGAATATCTTTTCAACAACACAACAACAACAATAATATAGACACTTTACTCTCAAAGCACCCTTAAAGCATTTACATAGGTTTCATAAGATCATGCATAAACTCATACATTTCCCTTTCAAGGTTCAAAGCTACTTCCAATCACCAAATCTAGAATTCTAGCATTAGATAGGGATTTTATCACAAATTTATGTAATTCTATTACTTCATGCTTTCGATCATAAAACTCATCTTTCATAGTCAACAACCCAACTCTATGAGATCACAATTCGAAAAACATGGGGGTTTGCATGGGTTCATAGGGGAAACATCATAAAATCATTGTAAATCATAAATTCATGCATATTTAAACATAATTCAATCATTAAGATCAATAATCAAAAGAACCCATGATGTTTGAGGAAAACCCTAGCTAATTGGGGAATCGTACCACATGAAATATAGGAATTGGGGACTTCATGGATGGAAGGAACCCATGGATGAAAGATACCATACATCAAGTCTATTTGCCTATCTTCAATGGAGAATATGGATCCTTAGCTTCAAACCCTAGTTGAATCTTATTCTTCTTCTTCAAGTTCTAGAGGGAGAATATTTGAGAGGAGTTGGTTTTCTATTGAGATTTAAGCAGAATGAATTAAATGGGGTGAATTTGGGGTAAAAAGACTTATATAGGGGTTCTAAATATAGGCAAAATGATATAGTATATGAATTAATTAATTAAGAAAAGACTCAACTGACCTTGAAATTAACTACCAGGTGACCATCCAAGGACCCAGTCGACGGACCGTGGTCTGACCCACGGCCCATCTTGGTGGACCATTGGTCACCATCAGAGAGGGTGATTTCTGGGGTCTCAAACCATGGACACCTAACCATGGACTGTGGTCTGACCTATGGTTCGTAGGTCGTGTCGTGGCCTTGAGCCCTTAAATCTTACCAGGCAAGCCAACCACGAACCACACCTACGGTCCATGGTCCACTCCACGGGTCGTGGGTAGCCGGCGTGGTCTGGCACCTGTAACTTTCTGTAAATCTACTATTTTGGTCTTTTTTAGTACGGGGTGTTACAATGTAACTGATTAGTTATGGTTGGCTTATTGATGTTGCTTAGTGTTATTTTGGGGAAGATAATAGTGCGTAATCAGATTTGAGCAGGAAAACTTTGGAAAGGAATCTTTCGGGTAGGGGATAGTTGTTTCTTTCACATGTATGCTTTAGGTTCTTGTTAACCGCATTATTAGTAATGCATACTTGATAGGTGATCGGGATGTTGGAAAGGAATAATATGAAGTGAAAGATGTTGTCAATTGCGTGCAATGAGTGTGTTACATGAATGTCCATGTTTTTTTTGTAATTTTGTGGTGGTGTCCTATTTTTATTTTTTTTATATATATATATATATATATATATATATATATATATATATATATATATATATTTACTAGATCATGTGCCACGCCGACACACACACACACACATATATATATATATATATATATATATATACACATATATTATTATTATTTGATTGGGTTCCACGTGGGCACACACATTTATACTTATTAGATTGGCGTCTTGCCAGCACATGCTTATTATTATTGGATCGGATGTCACACCGACATATATATATATATATATAATTATTGGATCGAATGCCATGCCGACATATATATATATATATATATGATCGCATGTCACACTGACACATATTACTATTAAGTTGTGTGTCACGCCGACCTATATATATACATATATTATTGGATCGGGTACTGCACCAATACATGTATAGTTGTGGGTGGTTTGTTCCATGAGGTACTGGTTTGTGTGTTTAAAATTTAGAATTTCCTTTTGTGTGGATCGGGATGACATGTTAAATGTTGTAGGTGATGACATAGAATTCTTGAAGTTCGGGAAATTTTATAATAATGAAATGAAATTGGTTATATATGTTTGGTAAGTTGGGATACTCATTCACATACTGTATAATGGAAGTGTGTGAGGTAAGGAGTGACAAGAAGTAGCAGTATGACGTTTGGGGAATTATTGTGAAATAAAAGGGTTACGCTATAATCTAGTGTGAATGGAGTTGGCAGTGGAGGAAATATGATGTGTTGAGTTTGACTTAAGGATTACATGTAGTAAGGGTGGTGAATTAGTACACCGGGGCCCTAACTTTATATTTAATATACATGGTTCTTTGGATATTTTTGCATGATATTATGTAGTGGGGTAAGGTCGATTGATGATGCCTACCAATACATGTTGTTTGTACTGATACTCCTCTTTCGATGTCACTTGGCATAGTCTAGTTGTAGGATTCAATAATGTTTCATAGATGAAGATGATTATCTTCTACTATTCTTTCCTTATGGTGGGAATTGTCTTATTTCTTTTTATGCATTGTATATTCTTAGTAGATCTTGTACCTGTTTAAACTAGCTCCTTGGGAAGGTTTTACAATTGTTTGTAAAAAGATAATTCTTATAATATAGTTTATGTTTATTCAAGAATTATCTTGAAAAATAATTCTTCCCGTTTTCTCTCAGCGCATGTTAAGCAAGGCTAGCTAAGGTGCACTCATCGACAATGGGAAGAATCGGGAAGAACAAAACTCAGGTAGAGAAAAACAACATGATCAAGGAAGCTGTGCAGGCCAGTCAATCAAAACTGAAAACACCAATTTCGGAAGGGGCTGGAGGAACGAATGGAACAGTAACACCGGTAAACTCACATCTAATGATAGAGAAGATGAAGATAAGGTTGGGGTCAGGACTGTCAGAGGAATTTCCAAAAGTAGGGGCTCTGAGCTCAGATCCAAATTTGGATGAGGCCAAGGGTACAGAAGCAACAAGGCAAAATGAGCATGGGGTACCAGGGAGGAAGATCTGGAAGGGGCTATTTCAAGCTACAAACCTAGGAGCAAAGGGGATGGAATTGAGCTTTGTACCTCTAGTGCTCCAAGAAGGAAAACTGGTGGTGAAATTAAGCAAGGAAGATGTAGAAATGGGGAGTGAAATATGGAGTAATACTGCCATACTCTATGTGATAGGCAACACACCAATCCATTGGAGCTATTATGAGACTCATTGCAACAGAGTGGAACTTCGTGGCGAAACCCAAGGTATACCTGCATAATGATGATTTTTTTGTTGTGAAGTTGAATAGCATTGAAGATAAGAACTCCATCTTAGAAACAGGTCCATACATGTTCAATAATTGGACTATCATATTGAAAAGTTGGACTGCTGATTTGATTTTAATAAGAATGTATTTAGAACTATTCCTTTTTGGGTGCAATTCCCAAATTTGTCGTTGCATTACTGGGGATTGGCTGCGTTGAGTAAAATTGGTAGTGCTCTGGGGAAGCCTCTGTATGCGGATGAATGTACGTCAGGATTTGGGAGAATTTCCTATGCTAGGTTGCTCATAGAAATGGATGTTACCAAGCCGCTACCAAGACATGTAGAGATTTTTTATCCAAATGATGGTAGGATGCAACAGAAGGTGCAATACGACTGGGAGCCAATCTATTGTACTACGTGTTGTATTGTTGGGCATAGTTGTACTGAGCTCCATAAAAAAGAACATAGGAACAAGGAAGGATACAAGCAGTAGTGCAGGAATAAAGTAAAGCAACAATGGAAGCCACAAGAAAGGAATCCTATGGAAACTACAGGTGTCCAGACTAAAAAAACAACGAATCAGAACACACATGAGGAGGGATGGCACACTGCAAAAGGGAAATCAACAATCAAACACACTCATACTAATGAAGAGATGGGGCGACAAATTAGAACAAGAAATAGTTTCAACACAATGGAGGAGGGTGAGTATCTAAATGTGTGTGAAATTGGTTAGGGTAGTGAAGACATAAGGGGAGGGAACAATAGGCAAGTCCCACAAACTAACACTGGATGAATATAATAACATGGAATGTGAGGGGACTAAATACAGTGTATAAACACAAGGAGCTTAAGGTGTTTCTACAATAAAATAAAGTAGGAGTAATTGTTATTACAGGAACTAGAGTTAAAGAGAATAATGCAGCTCAAGTTGTGATGAAGATAACAAAGAATTAGATATGGCGTAACAATTATGTTGAGGATCCGGGGGCGAGAATTTGGATATTATGGAATCCAATGGTGGTGGAATTCCAATTAATGGGCACACACATGCTAGTGATTCATGGTTCAGTAAAGGTGAGAGGTAGTGACATGATATTTGATCTAAGCATAGTTTATGGCCCACACACATGTCTGGATAGAAGGGATATGTGGTATGAGTTGAATCAATACAATATGAGGTGCAGACAACCTTGGTTAGTTATGGGTGATTTCAACTCTATTTTGCATGTTGAGGACAAAATAGTGGGCTCACAAGTTCAGGAGACAGAACTAAGAGATTTTAAGCAATGTTTACTAGACACTAGGTTACCAGAATTGAAGACTGTGGGTAGGAACTATACTTGGACAAATGTCCACACTTATAGTAGTATAGATAAAGCCTTGGTGAATGCTATGTGGTTGCAATCCTGGACCCATTTGGAGTGCAGCATACTTGATCCTAGATTTTCAGATCATAGCCATTTGTGTGTAACAATAGAAGCAAGGGAGAATATTGGACCTAAGCCATTCAGATTCTTCAACTACTTGGCTGGCCACCCGGAGTTCATGCAGACAATGGAGAATAATTGGAAATCACAAAGACAGGCTAGCTCTATGAATGAGGTTTGGAGGAAAATAAAAACGTTGAAACAACCTATGAGGGGTTTGAGTAATCATGATTTTCAAGGGATTCAATACAGAGTAACTATTATTAGGACTCAATTGAAGGTGCTACAGGAACAAATGAGGTATATCCGAGATGATAACCAAGTGAAGCAATATCAAATGGAAAAGAACCTCAAAACACAATTGGAAAAGTGGAGAAATATAGAGGAGAGTGCAACCAAATAGAAATCCAGGGTTCTATGGTTAAAATAAGGTGATTTAAATACTACATACTTCCATGCATGCATGAAAAACAGACAAGCACACAATCATATCATAAGATTGACAGATGCAGCTAGAATAGTAATATAGGATGTCAAAGGTATACAAGAGGAGATAGTGAGTTTCTACAGAGGTCTATTGGGTACAGAAGCAAAGCAACTAACCCCTGTCCACCCTTATATCATGGAATTGATACCAACTTTGAATAGAGAACAATAATTATTATTGATTGACAAGGTTACAACAAAAGATGTGTACGATGCTCTATTGACTATTTAGGATAACAAGGCCCCAGGAGGTGATGATTTTAATGCTCTATTTTATAAGAAAACATAGCCTATAATGGGTAAGGAGATCACTGAAGTTGTGTTACACTTCTTTGATACTGGAGTAATGTGTGATGCTATAAATTGTGCTTTTATCATTATGATTCCAAAGACTAAGCATCCTCAATCAGTGAAAGAGTATAGGCCAATATCATGATGCACCATTCTATACAAGACTATTTCCAAGATCTTAACTATAAGAATGCAACCTGTGATGGACACATTGATAGATCCTAGCCAAGCAACTTTTGTACCAGGGAGAGTAATAATGGATAACATTTTACTTAGCCATGAATTGGTGAAAGGATATGGCAGGAAAGGTATATCTCCTAGAAGCATGATGAAGATTGACATGCAGAAGGCATATGATTATGCTGAGTGGCCTTTTGTTGAACAAATTCTGAGACTATTAAACTTCCCAACTAAATTTATTAATTAGATTATGGCTTGCCTCATAACTGTGTCCTTTTTAATATTATCCAATGGTGTGCCTGCTAGTCCTTTTAAGGCAAAAAAAGGCTTAAGGCATGGGGAACATGTGTCCCCATATTTGTTTGTTCTGAGTATGGAGTAACTGAGTAGACTACTGAAGAAGATGAAGTGGACCAGGGAAATGCTCAAAGGTGAACATAGTCCAGTTGGGTTTTGCTGATGATCTCTTACTATTTTGCAGAGGTGATGCCAGATCTGTCCAATTATTGTTTGATACGCTCCAGGAATTCTCAAAGGCATCAAGATTGATAGTAAATACCGGCAAAAGATCCATATACTTTGGAAGAGTAAGCATTACTGAACAAGATGAAATAATGGCATACACAAGATTTACTAGAGGGGAAATGCCGTTTAGATATCTTGGGTACCTCTTAGTACAAAACGACTATCCATTGCTCAATGTAAACCATTGTTGGAAAAGATGCTAGGTCGGATTTATTCATGGACAACAAATTTCCTATCTTATGTTGGTAGAGCCCAATTGATAAGGAGTGTACTAATATCAATGCAAACATATTGGTCACAAATTTTCATTTTACCAAAGAAGATATCACAATTGATTGATCAGATGTGTAAAAGGATTTTGTGGACCGGGAAGGCATAAGTAACAAAGAAAGCATTAGTAGCTTGGAGTAGACTATGTCAACCTTAATTAGTAGGTTGGATGAATATGATTGATATGGAAATATGGAACAAAGCTGCAATCAGCAAGCTGTTATGGAATATGTGTACAAAGAAGAATAAAATATGGATCAAGTGGATCCATGCATATTATGTGAAGGGTAGATGTACTTGGGAAATAGAACCAAAAAAGGCATCGTGATTGATGTAGAAGATATTTAAGGCAAACAAATATTTCATAGATGTTGACATACCTTTGGAGACGGTACATACAATGTACAGATTGACCATTAAAAGCATATATCAAAAGTTACAAGGACAATTTGAAATGGTTAGTTGGGAGGGAGTGATATGCGATAACCAAGGTGCACCTAAATGGATATTTATGCTGAGATTAGTCGCATTGGAAAAAATATACACTTGTGATAGACTGGCCAAATGGGGAATGGGCGTAAACTTACAATGTCAACTGTGCAATAAACAACTTGAGTCTATTCAACACCTATTCTACACGGGACAACTATGGGCTAGGTTACTCAAATGGATGCACATCCAAAGACCATGTATGGAGTGGGAGGGGGAACTCATATGAGCAGAGAATTGGTGTAAAAGGAGAAGTAGCAGGGCTAAGGTTTATAAGATAACACTAGTTGCATCAGTCTATTTTATCTGGAAGAAAAATAACCAACGAGTATTCCAACAGAAGAAAAGGAGCATGGAAGACATTCTGAAACACATTGCCCAAGAGGTCTATTTCAGGGCCCATCTGAAACCTCAAAATAGGCTATATATCCAAATATTTAGATGTTATCCATAGTCTAGATTGGTAGAGGAGATATATGCTAACATAATCAGGAGTTAGGTATGTCCAGGCATGTATGTCTTTTATTGTAACCTGAGCTGTAATTCTTACTTGGTAATAAATATTTTTATCTACAAAAAAAAAGAGTTTTCGTATGCTAAATTGATTTATGCATTAACCATTTTAAATTGAGTGGTAAGGGTTCTCCTATCTAGGTGTTAAAGTAGGTACCCATTCGATCCAGTGGATTGGGTTGTGATAATTTGATATCAGAGCCCAGGTTACCGATCTCCCAATATAAGAGCAAATATTGAATAGAGTTTTGAGGATGGTTGTGTTAACGTCCACATTTATATTCATGGAATTATGAAGCATTCTAGGAAATTGTTCCACTTCTTCACTCTTTTCGTGTAGTCTGTCACTTACGATATGAATTGATTTCAATTGGTATCTCCGGATTCCAAGTAGTATCTCTATGAAGTAAATCGAATGGTGTGGGTGTGGGTGTGGCTGAAGGAAACATACAATGAAAGATCGTAACCAGGCAAGTTCAAATTGGTATTTATCCTTAAAAGTCACGTGGATGCATGGATGACCAATGCAAATAAAATGTAGCAAACCTAAATTTAATGATAACATTGTTGATTGTTATTGTGTGCATTACATTGCTTGAAATAACAACTAATGGATAGAATGTAGTTGCTTGAATTTTCGTGAGATTGTGGACAAGGAAAAGTTGTGACCTGCTAATGTGTGATAATTGAATGATGAATTGCTATGTGTTTAAATGACCATGCCTTGGTGTAGGTTCGGTCTTGAATGTTCTGATCATATGGGGTTGGCCCTATGATGTGTTCTGAGTCTGATCTTGGGGTCACGTTCAAGGACTGATCTTGGGAACTACTTTATTAACCAAAGTTATGTTTCTGGAGTTGTGGTGATTGTGGGGAAGGGTAAGGTTGCATAATTTTGAAAAAAATTGGACTGACCTCGTCGAGGCACCAAGTGGACCGAGCCCCTATAATGCTCCCATTATAGTGTGAATTTTTGTTCTATAGTAAGAGTCGATATAGCGGCGTGTCACTCGCTATACTACTCAGAGACGAGATAGAACCTAAAAGCATGTTTTTTCCTAATTCCTAAAATGTCTTAAATCTCTTGTTCTTGTTCATATTAATGCGCAACAATAGAAAAGTATCCATAAACAACCTTAGCATATAATATCAGTGACAATAAGTTAGTACAAACATCCATGTTCTAACAAAACAAAGGAAAGCGATAAAGATGTATTTATGCCCAAATGAGGCAAAAACCAAGTCTAGTTCAAACACATCCAAAAAGGGAAGGGGGAAGGTATCGTAATCATCTGAAGATCCTTCGAGGCTCATTCATGGGTCCATATCTCTCTCAGGAAGGGAAATCTTAAGAATCCTCGGGTTCAAGGGTGGGAAGCTTCTGCTGGGGAAACATAGGTTAATATAACCTTGATAGCCTTCCACATCCTAAACATCAGATGGTCCCTCTCCAAGTTCCTCATCTTCTCTTATTTCAACTGCTACGTAGCATCTCAAGTTTGTAGGTAATGGAGGGTAAGAATGGAGATTAGGTAGTGAGACCTCTTAAAGCTCTCTAGACAGAAGCTAGGTCCTCTTCCACACGGCTACTAGAAAGTGGGTGTTGGGGCTATAAAGAAGGGACATCACCCTCATCATCAACATCCTCTTCTTCACTTGACTCGGCTGCGAAATGACTTCTCCCAGCTTCATCTACTCTCCTCATTTTCTACTCTATGGTGTGAACTTTCTCACTAGTAGGGGGTTGAATGGAGAGGGGGTCTACCTCTTTTGTCTGGTTAGTATCATCCTATGGGACACCAACTCGCCTGAAAAGTGCGGACACAAATCTAGAAAAGGAACAAGCCCTTCTTGCTGCCTCGATAGAAATCCTTCCACTTAAGCACTATTTGTGCTCCCATATTCATTTAAATTCCTTGGATAGTGCAAACCACTACTAGGGCCTAGGAATACGTCATATCAGTGAAGTTGCCTGATGGGAGAATCCTTCGGCCCACCGTATCAACCACCTCAATGCCTTTGTAAAGAATAGACATTGGTAATGCCATTAGTAGTATGCCAGTAAACCTTACGCCAATGCTTCTCATCAACCAGTGAGTCCCATAACCACCTCATATTCACTGCTTTCAACTTGGCCTCAAACTCATCGTTGAGAATGTATGGCACCCTAAAACCTTATTCAATGTATACATTTTTTTTTAAAAAACTCCATCCCTCGGATGCGAAGGGAGGGCTAAGGGGATTCCCAAAGAACTATCGAGGGGAGATCATAAAACTTCTTCACCCAGCCTGAGAGGGAGGACCAAAGAACCTCAACCAAATTCTAGATTACAGTTATAAAAGTTCGATGCCTTCTCTTCTACCTCTAACATGTGGAATACCCTTTAATAGAAAAATTTCATTGTGAGATAGTCCATGAATTGTTACCAACTAGCTTCCTTAGGGAATCTCATGTAAGAATAAATTTGTTCCTGATTGGCAGCCATTTGAGCTACGAACATGCAATTATTCAATAAGTATCAAGTTAAAATCATAAAAATATCCTAAGAAAGTTTTCCAAAAAATCCAGTTCTTGGTTGGAAGGCAGGCTACTGCCCTGCAACCTTCCGTTATAGTGAGAATTGCTCTGCTATAGTGGAAATCAAGGCC